GGGGGCAGCGGGTGGAGATGGAGACGATTCGCTATACCCGATCGCTGTTTTAATTGACGAGCTCCGCAATGAAGACGTGCAGGTACTGGAATCCAGCGGGAGAGCGGGGCGGGCCGGGAGCGTGGTAGGGAAGGGGGAAGGCCAGTGCCAACGTGGGGGAGGCCCGGGCATTGAAAGAGCTGGACTCGGAGCAGAAATCGGAGGGTAGGAGGGAAGGACCCGTGAGGGGCTCGATCGGACCCTCCCGTGGACCTCTTCAGCACCTCTCCGCCGGATCCCCTGAGGCGTCGGTCCGGCGCCCCACCCGGGCGGTTGTGGGAGAACCGGCTTCCCGCCTGGGCGCCCCTTTCGGGGCCGTGCGGAGGGAACGAGGCTGGGCGGGTGGTCCCTGTTGATGCGCGAGCAGGAGGAGGGTGGCGCAGGGCCGCGAGGTGGCTGGAGCCCGTCGCAGGGATGCCAGAGGGCCCTTTGAAGTGCCGGTGACTGAATGCTTCCCTCTCGTCTTGGAAACTGGCCGGGCTTGTTGGGTTGAACGAGTGGGATAGCCAGTTAACCTAGAGGAGCCGGTGTATCAGCTCTGATGGAACGAACTCTTTGAAAAGGTTGGAGTTGTAGTCAACCGTTTCATCTGCTTCACCACTGCCAAAGTTCTCTTTTTAAAATTGCCTCACTTCCTGGATATTGTATTCTCTTTCATTCATTGCTCTAATGGGCTCTTCAAAGTGTTTCTCCTAAGAGATCTTCCTTTGGCTAGTGAAGCCGTGTTACGCTGCTCCTGAGGTTCCTCATAGGATACAATCTAAATTGAAGGTTTTCTTCATTTTTACCATGTCATTATGTCACCTGTTTGCAACTTTTGTTTTTGGTCTAAACCACAACTGTTTCTTTACTTCATTATTTCCACTTTTTTTTTTAAAGCTCCGTCTCAACAGTATTAAGAAATTATCAACAATTGCTCTTGCACTTGGAGTAGAAAGGACGAGAACTGAACTGCTGCCATTCCTTACAGGTATGCGAATCTTTGTTTAAAGAAAAGCATGGGCATTAACGTTTTCCAGTGGCTTTTAAAACTTTGTTTTTTAGAATTTATTACTCACAGTATTAAGTACTAAAATCAACGTGATGCTTTCTGTGCAGAAGAAACAGGAGGATGGAGCATATTGTAATGTGGCCAGATGTATTCAAATCTTAAATATTTAACTAATAGGAAAGTAATTGACATGGGATTATAAAATTTCTAATTTATTGTGTAAAACAGATCCAGAAAGACTCCTGATTGAGAAGGAAGAAAACACTGTTAGGATAGTGACAGGACCATTTAGTTATACAATGAGTCAATTCCTAGTTTTGTGTGAGTGTCCAGCTCTGGGCCAGTTATCCTTATTGATGAGTACTTGGTCATTGTCATTTCTAGATACAATTTATGATGAAGATGAGGTACTGTTAGCTCTTGCTGAGCAGCTGGGAAATTTCACTGGCCTGGTGGGAGGTCCTGACTTTGCCCACTGTTTGCTGGTGAGTATATTCTGCCTACCCTCCTTCTAGAACTTTTGCAATATAAATGATACATTGTTTTGTGATAGGCACACTGCAGCATTTTTTATGCAGATCTTTTTATGGATAGATCCAATGTTATGGAGAGAACAAATAATGTAGGCACTTTGGACTCAATTAACCCTTTATTTTTTTCTGACTACAAATACAAGAACTTCTTCCTCTCTTCCTGTCTTCCTCTGCAGACTTGTTTGTTTAGAGTTTGGGAGAAAAAGATTTGATTGTTTTTGTTTATGGTTTTTTTCCCCCTGAAATTGGAAATCTTAATTCTCATCAACAATGTCATGACTTTGGAACATTTATTAGCTTTTGTCTTTGATTGTAAGCATAACCTTTACTTCTGACTTTATGAATTCGATGAGTTCAGTTAAATTTAGTTGGCAATTATTGATAGCCTACTAAGTCAGGTACTGAAGTTACAATATTGTTCTTAAAAAAGACCAGTGTGAATGGAATAAGGCCTCTGTCCTTATGTGTTAACAAATAATTACTGTACAGTGTTAGATGGAAAAATAGAAGCCCATTCAAGGAACCCAAGTAATAGGAGAAAGGGATTAACCCAGAGTGATCGGGGAAGACCTCTTGGGAGATGATGTCTGAACTAGGTTTTGAAGGATGACTAGGAATTCGACAGTTGGACAAGATAGGGATGTATGGTTAAAGGCTTAAATATTGCCTGTATGATGCTGACTCTTATGCCTTCTGTTTCTACCTCCAATCTTTCCATAGAACTCTAGATAGAGATATAGAAAGATAGATGTAAATATTTGTCTCTCTGTTTTTCTCTACATCTGCCTACGATTTTTTCTACTTGGATGTCAAACAGGCATTTCAAATTTAATATGCCTAAAACAGAACTCAATTTTCTCCCCAAAATATGCCTCATGTAGTTTTCCTATCTCAGTAAATGGCATTACCATCTACCCAGCTGCACAAGCGAAAACCCAGAAGACATTCTTAAATCTTCTTTCCCTCATTTTCCACATCTAATCCATTAGTAAATCCTGTAGATTCTCTATATGTTATTCCAAATCAGTCTACTCTCCTTCATCCCTACTACTACCTAGCTCAACTTTCCTCTAGATTACTGCAGTAACTTTCTAACTAGTTGCCTTCCACCCACCCCTGTAGTTCATTTTTTACCCCACAACCCACAGATGGCTCTTGGAAAGTTCAGATTTCTACCTTAGTTTGTGTCTTAGCTTATAAAACCTGCCTCTGTGGGCTTATCTAATATCCTACTCTCTCTTGATAACCTCATTCCATTCACAATGGTCTTCTTTCTGTTCTTTGAAAAAAACAAGCTTATTATTGCCTTAAGACTGTTGCCCTAGGTATTCTCTCTAATAAAATGGTCTTTTGAGCTTCCTGTGACTGACTTCCTGTCATTCAGATACCAACTTTAATGTGTCTTGTCAGAGAGGCCTTTTCTGATTACCCAACCTGAAATTGCCTGCCAGCTATCCCTTATCACATTCTGTTCTATTACTTTGCAGAGTACTCATCACTATCTAATTGTAGTCTTCATTAGTTGTCTTCCTCCATTAGAACATAAACTCCACTAGAGCAAGGAATCTGTGTGCCTGTTTCTTCTCTAGCTTCAGTGCAAAATATAACAATAATCCTTTACTGAAAGGTTTGAGTTTCGGGGCTTAGGTACAGGTTGTGTTGCTGGATGGAATATAAAGTGTTGGGCTGGTGTAGGCAGGAGTGGTGGTCAGGGAGCAGTAGGAAAAGGGCATGGAGAAATAGGCAGAGTTCAGATCAAAAGACAACTCGTATGCAATTTTCAAGAGCTTGTCCTTATCCTGTAGTAGTGATAGAGATTATCCAATGATACTGCATCAGAGAAGGTCAGAAAGTAGGGGCAGATCATGTAAGAAAGCGTATCTTTTCAAAGGGCTTCTGAAATACCTCTTACGAAAGCTAAGTACTTTCTACCTCTGTGTATCAAACAGTTTTCGAAATGGATTATTAAGTAGACATGCTTCTTTCTTTTTACTTATTATAATTCTGTTTTACTCTCTTGGTCAGTTTTAAATGTGGGTTTTGTGTTTAACATTTGCAGCCCACAGCATATGCTGAATCTACCTGACTAAATGCAAACCCAAAAAAGACGAGGTTCAGAGAACCAGCCCACTTTCACTTTTCACTGGGCAGTGTCACTTACTGATCCTAGTCCAGACCAACCCCTTTGGTCTTTTTTTTTTCTAAAGCTGCAAGCAAGGATTCTTACCATCTCTGTATTCTTCACTTAATTGTTTGTCAGAGACTCCTGCTATATGTTTGGCTCATGGGAAGATTTTGGATGTATTCTGAAAAAAAATTAATTTAAACTCAGCCTTTTAAATTTGGATAAGTTGATTGTGTGGAGCTAGTGGACAAGGGTTCCTTGCAGCTCCAAGAATGGTAGAATAATACTCTAAAAGCTGTGGACTCAGTGGCCTGATATCATTATGTATTTGTGGTGCCCAGTTGCTCATGTTTTTGCACTTATTGTTGATGAAATATTCATGATCCTATTTGGATTTGGCTACATATCTTTTAAACCTAGTGATTCAGCTCACAATAATATTAATATTGTGTCAAGTCTCTTTCACTGTGTCATTCGTAGACACCATCTGGGAATTGCCATCTGGGACATGAGATCTTGGCTGTCCTACAGAAGTCGTGTCTTCAGGTTGGACACACCATATGTTATCACAGTGTGAACTGAAAGTAACCATTTGGTGTGATGTAGCTAACATTCTGGTTACATGTACCACCTCCCTTCAGACACTTTAAAAGGTGATAATCTGTATCTAACCTGATTCAATAAGTCTTCTCTGGTTTTCCTTTTTTGGTTTATTCAGCCTCCTTTGGAAAGTCTGGCGACTGTGGAAGAGACAGTGGTTCGAGACAAGGCTGTGGAATCCCTGAGGCAGATCTCCCAGGAGCATACTCCTATTGCTCTGGAAGCTCATTTTGTACCTCTGGTGAAACGCTTAGCGAGTGGGGATTGGTTTACTTCTCGTACATCTGCATGTGGTTTGTTCAGCGTTTGCTATCCCAGGGCTTCAAATGCTATCAAAGCAGAAATTAGACAGTAAGATATGGATTTTTTTCTTTTTTTTAGTTATTTGCGGTTATTGGGAACTCATAGCTGACAATTTACACAGTATCCTGTTATCAAGATAGTAGGATTGATGACATCACTTTTTATTGTCCAGTTGAATACATTAGTGGTTTTATCTTTATTACTTCTATGAGGTGAAGTCTAATCACTGATGTTTGTAAGAGAAAACCTCTTAAAATGTCTTGCTGTGTGTGTGCGTGTGTGTGTTTTTGGTGTTTAATCGATGGTATTCGACAGGAAGTACCTTCATTATTTTATTTGTTCCAGGCACTTCCGTTCCTTGTGTTCAGATGACACACCAATGGTACGTCGTGCTGCTGCTTCCAAATTGGGCGAATTTGCAAAAGTTTTAGAATTAGACAGTGTGAAAAGCGAAATTGTTCCATTGTTCACTAATCTAGCTTCAGATGAACAGGTAAGTATTTAAGGTACACAGATATGCTCCTCTTTGCTAACATTTTCAGAATTTCTTTGGGGAGTTTGATTCTCATGTTAAGATTCTTTTTGTAAAATTAGTACTTAATTCTGGCCTGGATAAAGTTGAATAAAACCCACTTCAATGTCTTTATAATTCTTTCTTAATCAGACCATGATTTTCTCTTATATTAGCAGCTGTTAAAAGAATGGGAAGTCAGAGGAAATAGGAGCCATAATTAGAAAGGAAGATCAAAACCGCATTAAGGGGTAACATACGTTTGTGCTCTGCATGCTGGATTGTCATATGGGAGGGTAATGTTTCCTGGAATTTTTGACTGTCAGATAAACAAGCATAGCATGTGTTAGGAAAGCTATTTGACCTTTTGCATCCTCTGTACGAGTGTATAGAATGACTTTGAATAATAGCAATTTTAAATCCAAGGCCCTAGATCTCTTTGGTGTAGAAATAACAATAATAAAATAGTAATCATCTAAATAAAATACTTAATCTCAGCATGTTTAAAGTGGTTTACATATATGAAGTAATTCATTTCTCACAACAGATACCCCCTTTTACGTTTTAGGAGATAGAGGCACAGAAAATTGAAGTAACTTGCTCAAGGTGGCATACTTAGCAGTGGTGGAGTTAGGATTGGAATTTAGGTAGTTTGGCTCCAGAGTTCATGGCCTTCACAGTGAGGTTACACTGCTTCTCTGTATAATGCTTCAGAGGATCAGCCCCTAGAGTTTCTGGACTCTAGAACAGTCCTTTTGGGCTTTTAATTTGCCTATAGTTTGCCCTAGAATCACTTTAAATGTACAAGACCAAAAGCACCAGGCACGTACTGATAAATCTCATTTTTAGATTTTAAATCTAAGATGGTAAATCTTCCTTTAAAAATAAAGAAAAAAAATTTAAATAGCATATAGAAAACAGCACAAAATGTACAACTTAGTAAGTTGTTAGAATTCATTCTCCACTCCCCATCTACTGAAGACTAACACTTTATCTTGACTTTTATGGTAACCGCCTCCTTACTTCTCTTTGTACTTTTATTACTCAGATGTTATAGTTTAAGACAGCACCGTCCAACAGAACTATAATGTAGGCTACCTATTTTAAGTTTTCTAGTAGCCACATTTTTAAAAGTAAAAACAAGTGAAAGTAATTATAATACATTTTATTTAACCCAATATACCCAAAATAATCATCATTCGAACACGGGGCACTGGCCACTTTTCCAGTACTCAGAAGCCACATGGAGATGGTGGTTACCACATTGGACAGCACAGGTTTAGAATCCTCGTTTGGGATTTTGTTGATTATATTTCCCGTGGTATAATTTAACATTTTATTTTGTCCTCTGTATCTCCTGCAAAATGGTGGTTGAATCTAGAGCAGGGCTTTTACAAACTTTTTCAGTAAAGGACCAAATAGTAAATATTTTAGTCTTTGTGGTTTAGATAGTATCTGCTGTAAACTACTCAGCTCTACTGTTGTAGCTCAAAAGCACCATAATATGTAAACTAATGGGCGTGGCGGTGTTCCAGTAACACTTGATTTACAAAAACTGACTGTGTCCTGGATTTCGCCAGTTTTTTACCCACCCCTGATCTAGAGGCTCAGTGAGATTTAGTTCAATATTTTGGGGGTGATAAAATCACTTCATAGTAGGGTATACTTTTCATCAAGAGGCATGTAATCTCTAGTTGTGGTATTAGCAATTGATGCTCAAAAAATATTAAGTGCTTAATTGTAAAATATGTGTATATGTATATTCTCTCCAACTACTGTTAGAATTGCTGCTCCTGGCTTATTCGTTCATTAAAAAAAATATTGAGCACCTGTGACATATCAGGCACTGTTCTAGTGCTGGGATACAGTGTTAAACAAGGCATATAAGGACACTGCTGTCATGGAGTTTACATTTTAATGAAGGAAAGCAGATAAATAAGCAAAATATCAGGGATAAATGCTATGAGGAAAATAGGGTGACATAATTGGGAGTGATTATAGGGCATTTCTCCAGACTGGCTAGTCAGAGAAGGACTGTGAAGAGGTGACATAAACTGAGACAAGAAAGAAGAATGCCAGCCATGCCCTTTCCTGGAGTGTCAGAGCTCCAGGAAAAGAGAATTCCAGGAAGAGAGTACACCTAGTGTGAAGACCCTAAGGTTAGAACATAGTGAGTGAAAGGGACTCTGGTAAACAGATGAGGTTGGAGAAGTTAAGCAGGGGACCGATCTTGGAGGGCCTTTAAGAGTTTGGATTTTCTTTTCTAGGTGCAATGAGAGTACACCTAGATTTTAAGCAGGGGTGTAACTTGATATAATTTACATTTTTAAAAGATCATTCTGGCTTCAGGATGAAAACTAAATTGTAAGGTGGGGATTGAGAATAGAAACAGGAAGGAAACGTGTAATAATCTAGGTAAGACACAATGGTGAACCAGGGAGGTATAGTAAAGATGGAGAGAATCTGGAATTAAACTATGATTGGATTGAATGAGGGGAAGAGGCATCAGGAGATCTTGATTTTTGGCTTGAGCAACTGGGTGGGTGGATAGTGGTGTCATTGCTGACTGAGATGGAGACGATTCTGGGAGGAGTAGCAGCTCTCGGGAGAAAATTAGGAGTTCTGGAAGAGAAGTGATTGATTTAACAAATATTTTTTGGTATCTATTTCCATAGGTGATGTTAGTCCCTGGATTTAGCATTGTTTTTCAAATCCAAAAATATGTATAGCCTAGTTTTGTACTTTTTAGATTGTTCTTTTGGATAGAGAAGTGAGTTTCTTGGGCATATAGTAAGTTTTTGTTGATCTACAATTTTTAGAATTTGTAATATTTTGAAAAGGTAGAGTCACTGTTATCTTGTGTGTGTGTGCATACATACACATATGTATGTTATATTTAATTACATATCTATATATACATATACTATTAAAGTTTTGTCTTGTTCCTTTGTGCTTATATGTTTACATATTTTCAGTTTCTACTTATATATTTATGATTCTCAAATCTGTAGTCTCAATTCCTAATTTTTCATTGATTTGTCTAAGGACATATAGTATCACATTGACACTTGGCAGTTTACATTTAGAAAGCTCAGTTCATTAATCCCATATCTTTCTAATTATTTCTGCTGCATTTTTCTAGGCTTGGCTACCTCAAAATTATTCTGTCCTCGATTCTCAACATTTAAATTCAAAGAATATTATTATTATTATTATCATACTGTTTTAATTTGTTTTTCTGTGTATTTCTTTCCAAGTCATTATCTCATGCTTAAACTCCTGCCACCCCAAACTAAGTACAGGTTTTTCCCCTGCTCTGAAAGTAGAGCATTCTTATGAAAACTTTTGTAAGCTGAAATGGTATAAAATGAAGAAGCAGTCACCTTAGGACACATTTTACTAACAGATGCACAATATAAATTGAGATAAAGTACAAATGCTGACAAACACAGCTCAAAGCAATAGCGCTTGATGCTGACACGGAGTGTGGTTCCCAGGAAGGAGCTTGGTGGGGTCACTCTTGCTGCCCGGGGATGCGCACTGCCTCTATAACGGCTTGTTCACAACAACTGCTGAGCGCTGTTTTTGCTTTTCATCTTTTTCTGTGAAAGCAGAAATATTTTTTAGATTTCTTTCGGGTAGCAAAAACAAATATTGCTAATGTTCTTCTGTAAAACCAAAGTGACGTAAAGTGAACTTTGGAAAAGCAGAAGTACCTGTATTTTGAAAACTGAGCTTCCTGAGTGATTCCCTTTCTCTGTTCTGATGTGTTATAAACAACTTGTACAAACATAGTTTTTGTTTTTATGTTTCAACCTCTAAAACGAGTCTTTGAAGACATAAAAATGTCCTCTTTTTTTCAATTAATCTTTACGTTTTCATTTTGTTTTCCTTAACAAAAAGTCTGTACTCTGACCAATGTAAATATTTTGCTGTGCACTCTTGAATGAGTCTTCTCTGCCTTTATGGCTTTGGCAAAGGGAGCAGCTATTTCAAGACATAAAGATATGAAGCTGCATGTAGCGTGGTTTTTGTTTTTTGTTTTTTTAAATGATACCCATAGCACTGCCACACACCATGCACTCTGGCTGTCAGTAAATATTGTTTTAATAGAAAGAAATTTTGTTCCTTTAGGATTCAGTGCGCCTCTTAGCTGTAGAAGCTTGTGTCAGTATTGCTCAGCTACTGTCTCAGGATGACCTTGAGGTTCTGGTGATGCCTACACTTCGACAAGCAGCGGAAGATAAATCTTGGCGAGTTCGCTATATGGTAGCTGACAAATTTTCAGAGGTAAAATTATTACACTGACATTTTTTAAGTACTAAAGAAAAAAACCCCAAACTCATGAATTTGCTGTTGTACTAAAAGTTTCTGAATTAATTCTTCTAAATGAGAAGTGTTTGTGGCAAAAATATATACTTGAAGATTACACTGTTTTGTTTTCATGTTTTTTTGTTAGTATGCATTAAAACCTATACAAATTCTTTTATAGCTTCAGAAAGCTGTGGGTCCTAAAATCACCCTAAACGACCTCATCCCCGCCTTTCAGAACCTACTTAAAGACTGTGAAGCTGAAGTCCGAGCAGCTGCTGCCCACAAAGTAAAAGGTTGAGTTCAATTTATGTTGCACTATGTGTCATTTATTTTGGTGCATTGCATTATGTCAATGAATTTTGTGCTTTTTTTTGTTCTAGAATATGTTTTCAAGTGCATAGAGATTATTTCAATGTGTGGAAATGTTACAGTGTCATATAAAACTATTCTCATTAAAACCAGCCATTTTATCCTGTTTCTGTAAAAAAAAAAAAAGAAAACACTTTTTCAGGTTGGATCGGTGTGACATACAGTGCCATATAGATTGATGAAAAAGTGAATTTAGAATGAGAACCATTTTTCCTTCTTGGAGCTTATTTGCTTAAACGTATGACTTGATTTAACTTGAAACCGTTGATAAACTTGGTTAAATTTCTTCATTTGGCTCCTTGTAAATATCTCTATGTAAGCATTATTTTCTTCTATTTTTCAGTGTTCTATTTTTCCATCTCTTTTAGAACTTTGTGAGAACTTGCCCATTGAAGGTAGAGAGACCATAATTATGAATCAAATTCTGCCCTATATTAAGGTAAACCTAGCTTTATTTTTTGTTTTACTCTTCCCTATATGAAGGCAGACCTTACCTCAATTTTCTTATTGTTTTTCTTACTTTAAAGCTCTTTGAGTTTAAAGGTGGACAAGGGATGAATGCGACAGATATGTTAATGTGTGACATTGTTATTTATCACTGCATTATAATTGTAAAATGCTCTTTGATGCATAGATTTATGTTATCTGACAGATGGTCTAAGAAAATATTATCAACTAATCAATATTGAAATACTGTTGTCTTTTTAAATTTCTGGGAAAACGATATGAAAGTTTCTGTTGTCTTGCTAAAAAAAAGCCTTTTAATTTTTATTTTATTTTAGGAATTAGTATCTGATACAAATCAACATGTCAAATCAGCTCTAGCTTCCGTAATTATGGGATTGTCTACCATTTTGGGCAAAGAGAATACCATTGAATATCTTCTACCTCTTTTTTTAGCTCAGTTAAAGGATGAGGTAAGTCTGGCTATAAATTCTTTTTTTTTTTTTCCTTAGGGGGCAACCCATGGGTGACCTCACAAATTGCAAGGACCTTGTCAGCTTACAATCCCTTATTTTTTTTATTTTTTACACCTACAGCACCTGGTCTTCCTAGGTGGTCTCCCATCCAAGTACTAACCAGGCCCGACCCTGCTTAGCTTCCGAGATCAGACGGGATCGGGCTTGTTCAAGGTAGCTTGGCCATAGACTGGCTAGTATGGGGTTGCAAGTTCCCCTGAAAATGAGCACGTGGAGCCATTGATACAGACTTAAAAATGTCTGTCCATTCTCTCTGTCCAATTCCTAGTGATACGCACTGGTTTCTTTCTTTAAACTTAATGTATCTTTTAAAAAAGGTTTCATTAAATTTAAATATAATATCAATATTATAGTGATACCATATTGAGTAATACTATATGCCAGATATGTTCATGTATTACTTTTCATGTATTATATGTCATCCTCACGACAGTCTTATGAGGCAGTTCTTATCTCCAATTACAGATGAGGAAGCTGAGTGCAATGGCTGAGAACCCAAGTTTTCAGCAATGGCAGATCTGGAGTTTGCACACATGTAATTTGATTCCAGAGCCTTTGCTCTTTACCATCCTATAGACTTTTCATTGAAAGTTCTGGTTAAGATTAGTTACATTTATTTGCTTTGAATTATTTGTGTACTTAGTATTAAGTATTTCTTCTAAGACTATACTTTTTTTCACCTGCGTCAGTATTTTCTTATTTTAAACTTAACAGTTTTTATCTCATCATGATAGGAAAATACTAGGCAGAGAACTTGATTTTTATATATGTTTTTTTGGTGCTTGTGTACTTGCAGTGTCCTGAAGTTCGTCTGAATATCATCTCCAATTTGGATTGTGTAAATGAAGTAATTGGAATCCGTCAGCTCTCTCAATCTCTTCTTCCTGCCATAGTGGAGCTGGCTGAAGATGCCAAGTGGAGGGTCCGGCTGGCCATCATTGAGTATATGCCACTGCTGGCAGGTCAGCTGGTGAGTATGTGTGCTCCTTGAAATCAAGGATAGCATCAGATAGTGGAGCAGATTTACCATGGCAAGAAGGAGGCCCCAGTAACTTGTATGATTATGTTCTTTTAGACACATTTAAGTATGGTCTGTCCTAGTTTTATTTTCTTTAGAAGGGCATTCATTTCTAACAAAAAGGAATTTTAGAAACACATTTCACCTCACCACCACCTAAAAGCAAAGCCATAGAAGATTGTAATCCGTTTCTTGGTATATGTGATGTAGATTTTGTGTTATTTAAAGTCTCTGTGACTTAAGACATATTTAACTGAGAGGAAAAGGGAATATGGTTTCAAGGTAAGTCAGCTTTTATTTATGCTCAGTTTCCCTGTTTCTCTATATCTTGAGCAAAATGTCTCTGGTTACTGCTTTTCCTACATTCTGGTTAAAGGGAGTTGAGGAATAAGACTAGAAACTTAAAGAAGTTTGTAATATAAGTATTGTGGCCAGGGTCCACTTTGTCACATTATCTGTTACCATTTGAGTTTCATGATTATTTTTACTCTGAATATCATCAATTAAAATTTCCACACTCGGTCTTAAAGCCACATCCTTTCCTTCCTTTTTCAGTAGGTGCCCTATACAGTTCTAAGTTTGATACACTCTTACCCTGTTGGTAGCATTTATTAAAGTGTATTGTAACCATTAAAATCTAGTTGGGGCGATAGGTGATCTTTTAGGGGCGGTGTTCAGTGTTTTATTTCTAGTGCCTACCATAGTGCCTGGCATTAATCAGGCACTTAACATTTGTTCAGTGTGAAATAAATGATGACCTGAGTGTTTTTGAGAAAGCTCATAATGTCATGTCATTTAACAGCAAACATTACTGCAGTTTGTTTCCCCTCTCTCAACCCCACTTCCGTTCCTTTCAGATCATAGCATATAGGATTTATTTTTCCTTTCTTGGACCACTGAATTTGTATTGCTAATTTTGGTATATTTAGTTTATGAAATGCATCTTGTACATGTCTGGCATCACATGTTTCATAAAATTTGAAGTATTCCATTCTTCGAAATGAATGCCAAAGATAGTATATAGCTAAAAGGGTCAGGCAAAGTCATCTTATCACCTTTTGTTTGTCACTCCCAAGTACTGAGGGGATCATCTTCTGTTCTTCACTGGTGACTGTTATGGATCACCTCTCCAGAGTAGAAAGCAGCAATGGCTAGCTGTTTGCTAAACAACTGTCTGGAAGGGAGGGTTAATTTAAGTACTTAAATTACTTAAATTTAAGTACTTAATTTTTTTTAACCTCTGCTTCTCTTAAACCTGGGAAGTCAGCAAAGTTTGGTAGCTCTATGGAAGAGTATGGAAGCAAGGCAGATGGTCAGACTTTGGCTGACTCATACCTGTCTAGCAGAGGTGAAATGCATTGGTCATGAACATTTTGCTATACAATTTCAATTTCTTGTTTTATATACTTTACTTTTTTTTTTTTTAATCTATAAAGAGTTTTATATTAGGTAGTCAGTTTATAAAATTCTTTCATGACTTTTTGTATGGCCTAGCTTGTGGATCATCATGAGTAAAGATAAAGTTGAATCACAAAAACTAGGAAATGAAAGTTAATTAAGACTCAAGAAAAACCCATAAGCTGGTATGAGAAGGAAAGCTTTGAGAGCTGACATGGTAACCTTAGTGTATGCTAAAACTTGTACATAATCCATTATAAAACCATTTTACGCTATTAAATCACTTTTCAAAGTGCTGAAACCAGTCAGGAAATTCTTAGGACCCAAAGAAACGTGTAGACCCAAAAGGAGGTGTTAAGAAAACATGTATCACAGCATTCTCCCACATGGACAGAAGTTTCACAGTGCCAGGTCTGTGTGAATCAGCTCCAGGACCTTGTCTCCAGTGCCGGAGAGGCTGCCCTTTCACAGAAAGAGCAAAAACAGGAGAGGCGGGATGCTTCCACCTGTGACTATGCTGGGACCATGTCACCTATAGTCTTGTGCCTGCTTTATTCTCCCTCTGCTTTCTTTAATCATCTCAGAAATACTCTGTTTAATTGGGAATATCTCTCTTGATGTCAGTTTTTTCATCCTTAATGATTTATTAACCAGAAAGGGAAATTTTGAGAATTATTAATATTATTGACAGGTATTTTCCTGGGTAATTCAGTTTTACAAATTATCTAGAGGTTGCTTGGCAGACGGTCGACACTGCATTCTCTCTACTCATCTGCAGTATTGTATCTAGCAACCAGTTCTCTCCTACTTAGCAGGGCTTGGGTCATCTCACTTATCTTTTCTTTGTTTATGATTTCTATCCAATAAAGTAGACTTACAATTTGTAAATAAAATCCCATGTTATTCTTTTTCTGGCTGATTTCATGAATTCAGCTTGTTTGGAAACAAGTTTTTGTTTTTGTTTTTGTTTTTTTAAGCTCTCAGGTCACGGTGTAATCTAAATAGATCATCTTGATTTCTAAACTTTGGAGATGTGTATTAATGGAATTTTCTATATCCATAGGGTGTGGAATTCTTTGATGAAAAGCTGAATTCTTTATGTATGGCCTGGCTCGTGGACCATGGTAAGCAAATAAGTTAAAAACAGGTTATTATGGAAGGCTCCTGTTTTTGCATATATCCCATTTTGTTTATGTATTTCTTTTTTAGAAAAGACCCCCGATCTGACCAGATATTTTACCTTTCCACTGTAGGGATGAAGAAGGACTGATTAAAGTCCCATTAGCTTCCTCTGAACACAAGTGTGACATTTCTATTTTCTAGAAGTTTTTTTCTATCTTAAACTTTATTTTCTCCATTAAACAATCTCTTTGCCCGGTTTCTTACTCATTCTATTACATTATTTTCAGACTCTCTCTTTTATACATATATTCAACTCTTTTCTTATCCCCAGGTCTTCTGCTTGACCATGCAGGCAGTCTTTTGTGCCTTCAGCCACTCTAGACTGGGTTGGACAGGAATTGGCCAGTCAGATGACAGTCCTATGGGGAAGAAATGGCTATTTGGCTTCTTTGAGGTGACATAGAGAAGGCGTACAGGGTCACAGTAAAGGAGTCCAGGAGTAGGAGATGTCAGCTGTGACTTAAGACAGAGAAGGCCTAGATTTCTGCTTTTGGTGAAAGGCAAGCTTACTGCCTGTGCCCTTAGCTGCTGCTGCCATAATGCTGAGAGAAGGTGAGCTGTGAGCTCAGGGCAGGGTCAAATGGGACAGCATTTAGAAAACTGATTTTTTAATACTTTATCTTCTCTTTGCATTTATAACATAATTCACTTCAACAGTCACAGAATCCTGTTCTTCGAATGCCACAAACTATTATACAGATGAAAATTGGTACTGCTGCTTATCATAATATACAAGACTATCGATGTTATATATAAAACCATTTTATATGTTAATTTGTTAGCAGTTGCCTTTTTGACAAGGTCTCAGGTGTGTCTTCTCTTGTCAACTAGGCAGCAGTGGATAGGAAGGGTGCCCTCTGTACTGGTGAGATCCAGTGCAAGGCCCCAGGTCCAGATCAACAGCTTCAGTGTCTGAGACCTGTGAGATGAGGGTCCTAGGGGCTCATAACATAGTGTCCTGTGAACTTCAGTTACATATTTTGGTGAATACGGTAGGCATCCTGTTTCATTTCCACAGCATCTTATGTACACTTCATACATTAAGTGTATCTTTGTTCTTCCGCTTATACCTGGATATTTGGGAAGAGTGGGGTATTTGTGTCTGCTTTGACATGTATGCAAAGGGCATATTTGGATCATACGAGCGGTCATATGGTTAAGAGTGTGAAGATGAGGGGTATGAAAAGGGTGAATCTCAGAAAGGCACCTATACATTGATAATTTCAGTATTTTCAGACTAGATTTTGGAGACTATTTCTTTTCTCCTCTAAAGTTACCTTTTCATGGCCTATTTTTTTTTTTCTTTTCAGATGAAACTTAAGTTTGGCAAATCATAGGAAGAAATTCCTCTCTTTTTAGAAAAACGTGTTTATGTTATTTCTGATACATATTTAACATTAGTAGGACTGACATGTCCCCAGAAGATCATTCTGTACTTTCTTAGAAAGCTGGCATTTTAGATTTATTTTGAGGAACTTTTAAAGTCCTGGTTCCACAAAGAATTAAATTCCCGACATTCTATGTAGGATTGCTCTATGTAAGTTGATTTACCCCCTTTCTTTTTCCTCTGATTTTTTTCTTCCACTCTGGGAGCAGGAGAGACCCTTGTTTGTTTGTTTGTTTGTTTGTAGCAGTATACTAAAGTGGGCATTACAAGCATTCTTTGTGTTTTGTTTTTTTATTTTTATTTTTTAAATTTATTTTTTTATGGCAACATCAGTTAACAAAATCCAATAATTTCAGCTGTACACTTTAACAGTAAGGCATATATATATTTACACTGTGTGTTTACCTCCCATAGTTAGATTTCTTTCTGTCACCATACAAGCATTCTTTGAACCGATGAAATGTCAGCTCTAATATCATTCTATATTTAATTAATCACATAGGTTTTTTGTTGTCTTTTTACATTTTAGATAACTGCTATGTATTAATCGATCACTGATCAATGAATTTTTTTGGAATCTTTTTCTTGATTTTAAAACTACTAAAAGAATGTTGTGGAAAATCCATAGACAAACAAGGAAGAACGTGTCACTTACCTCTATTCTCATGGTTGAATGGACAATATCAATCAGGGGGAGGAATTTAGAAGGAGAATTTATTTTTTATAGGAGAAAGGAAAAACTATCAATCCAGGTTAGTGAGCATGTAGAGTATGTTAGACATTCAGGGGAACCTTGCAAGTCAGGCAGACCTTGAGGGGAGTTGGATAGAGGGAGGAAAAGAGACAAAAAAAGGAGAGAAAACAGGCAGAACTGTGGAATAGTTTGCATTCTTTTGGCAATAAAATTGAGAGGAGCCAAGAACATAGTAGGCATCTGGCCAAGTAGAGTTGTGTGCAGTTAAGGTATGGGTCAGGGCGAAGCTCTTGTGCTCTCTGTCTCTGGTTTCTGTGGGAGTGAGATCCCTTCCTATGGTAATGGCATTAGGATGAGAAAAATCTCAAACAAATTAAAAAACAGTATTAGAGGAGAAGACATATATTCTAGTTAGCTCCTCCTCAGCGGGCAGAGGGGTTGTGCCGAAGACAGACTGTGAACATGAAGGGAGAGAATTTGTATTGTGGATAAAACAGTTGACTTGAGCTTATTCTTAGAGAGTGCTTCTAGATACTACTGACAGGTTGATTCTCCCATAGAGTTTGGTCAGGTTGCGTGTTGGTAATATATAGTTCCTTGGTTATGCCATCTTGTCTGTTCTCATCAATGGCATAACCTATAAGGCTCTTTGGACTGGGAATAGTTGGATACTTCCTGCCCAGAAGTGTTGTATAAATTGTCTGGGATTGGGACTGTGGCTTATATAGCTATTCTTGTCCATTATATCACCAGCAGGGTCGGGCCTACCTGGAGAGAGAAGGATAAGGAATCAGTATCCTCCCACCCTAGATTTGTTATCTAAGTCCCAATTTTGATTTGTATCGGACCTATGAAATGAAGTAGCACCTGTCTTTGTTTAGTGCTACATATAGCAACCAGTCGTTGAGAAGATAGTAGTTTAGACCCTATTTAGATTTATAGTGTTTTTGGTAAATGATCTTACAGGGGATCATTAGATGTTAAAGCAGGTACCTTTATTCACAGAAGGCATGTCACAAAAATTTTTAAGGGAAAATAGGCAAGTTGGTCTGATGTTTTTATTCGCTGTTGTGTAGATGACCACAGTGGCCTCTAAATGACCTCCTCATTGTCTACCATCTAAGTTTAGCTTCCAAGGTGCTCTGTGTTCTGGGTCTACCCTAACTGTCCAACTTCACATTTTCACAGCTTTCAGTTGTTTCCTTTGTGCCCTGGGTAAAATTGTTTTCCCTTTCCAAGAATTCCTGTCCTTTTCTTTCTATTTAACACAAATCCCCTCTAATCTTCGAGGCCCAGTGCAAGGCCTCTCTCTTTCCCAAAGCCTTCTCAGGCCTTCCTGTTCTCTCTTCTCTACTCCTACAGCCCTCATGGTATTTGCCACACAATTTTATACTTTATTATATTGTCTTATACCATGTGTCTTCTTGGAATACCTTAGCTTTCGTTTCTCTGATAGAGTGTTTGATCTTTGAGAGAAAGGGTCTTATGTATTCTTCCTATGACACGGCACATAGTAGACACTCATATTTGTTAATTAATTAATGATGCCTATAATGAGCTCCTTACCTCCTTTTTCCTTAGACATATTATACATTTTGAAGCTGTAATAAAACCAAGTCAGTACGAGTTGTAGTTGAGCATGTTTGCCATTGTATGGCTAAATTTGGAGTATGTTTGCAGAATTTTGTTTTTGGTCCACCTTTGATGATGATGGAATTAAACTAGGTTATGCTTATATGTAAGCAGAATGACAGTATGTTCTTCACCTCTTCTGCAGTGTATGCCATTCGTGAAGCTGCCACCAACAACCTCATGAAACTAGTTCAGAAGTTTGGTATAGAGTGGGCCCAAAATGCCATTGTTCCCAAAGTGTTAGTAATGGCAAATGATCCTAATTATTTGCATAGAATGACCACTTTATTCTGCATTAATGTAAGTATTACATAGCTATTATTGTTATACTTTGGCTTTGATTATTCAGGATGGTGTTTCTGAATTCTGAACATATTGTCTTCTATTTGGAATGTATTATACTGATTAATTTGGACAGTTAAGAGATGAGAGAAAATGTCATTTTTCAGTGTTCGTTAAAATGTAGTCAAGTCAGTTGTGAATTCTCATCTAATTCCTGGGTATTTTTGAATGCTACCTTGTATCCCTTTTTCAGACTCAAACTAGAAACATTTTCTTGTTGATCAGTTACTTATTAAATATTAATTTGTCTCTTTAAATTTTATGATATTTAAAAAAAATAAAAGTGTTTTAAATGTGCTATCATATCTTTTTCTAGGCACTGTCTGAAGCCTGTGGTCAGGAAATAACCACTAAGCAGATGCTGCCCATCGTATTGAAAATGGCAGGGGACCAAGTAGCGAATGTCCGTTTCAACGTGGCCAAATCTCTACAGAAAATTGGACCAATTCTAGATATTGAGTAAGATTTTAACATCATTCTTATTTTAAAAGTAGATTAAAATTTTACCTTGTAGTGGGGAGTAATAGCTAAAATTAAATGTAGTGATTTTCACTTTACCTCAGGTGTGAGTTTGTTTAAATAAAATAGTAAAGTACTAACAACCATTTTTGAGGGTGTCCACTCTGACTTCTGTATTTAAGCTCATATATGTGTAGATCATTTTCCGAAGCTAATTCTGTTGAGAACTTTAGAAATTATTTTGTACTTGTCAAACTTATAGGTGTTTTAAAATATATATGTTTTTTTTTTTTTAAACTTTAAAAATTACCATAGAGCATTTTTCTGGCCCAGAAGACTGCCTTTCACAGATAATACTGTTGGATTTTAGTGCTTTGCAGGAGGAAGTTAAGCCAGTACTACAGAAGTTAGGCCAAGATGAAGACATGGATGTCAAATACTTCGCACAGGAAGCTATAAGTGGTATGTCCTTCTGTTTTCTGCCTTGCAGCCTTTTGCTTTGGTTGACAGGGTGTGAGTGATGTTAAGTGGGCAAGGCGATAAGCATATGGGAGACAGGGGAGGGTGGGGAGCTCCCGTAATGCTATGCCCTCTTCTTGGCCCACATTGAGCAGGCCATTTTCTCAGTTCCATATCTAGTACTGGGTAGGAATGTGATGCTTACTGGTAAAAACTGTTTTTTTTTTTGTTTGGATTTTAATCAGTTTTTAAAGTTTAACTTTTGATTAGCCTGGCAGAGTAAAGAAGCTGACCACAATGAGAAGTCATAGTTTCATGCTTTTGGATCATTGCTGTCATTGTCACATAGATAGTTTATGAACTTTCTGTACCACTAACTTGATTTTGTTTGGAATTTTCCAGTGCTTGCGTTGGCATGATGAGGAGCAGGAGGGAAAAGACTTTACTAACTTCTTATCACAGATTTCTAGTCAATGTGTTCTTAAACTGGGTGGAGAAAATGGAAAATCTTCAAGACCTCATCCAAGCAAATGGCAACGACTTGCAACAAAGCAGATTTCAGTGACTTGATTCTTTCTAAAGATGAAATGGGATTGTTTTTACTCGTCTTCCTTGTCGAGATAATTATATTCAAACCATTCTTATTGTTTGCGACCCATCCCTGACACTCGGTGCAGTCATTTCTTGATTGTCTCCTAATCATTTCTCTGGCACCATCTGGGCTCCTGCATCCTCGCTGCTTCATCAGGCCCTGGCCGCTTAATACTCCTAATGACGCCTGGGCGGGTTGGGACCCAGACATGGAGTGGAGTGATTCTCTTGATGTTTACGTATATCTGTGTGTCTCTCCATCATTCCAAAGTTTAATGTACATGGTTTAGAATAACTTATTTTATAAACACTCTATTTGGGAGACACATTGAGATTTAACTGTAGCGAAAGCCACTTTTTCCTGGATAATGATGGTCTGCATCAGTGTCTTACATGAAAGGGGAATGTGGAAGCTTGGAGTTCATGTGCTGGTTGTTTTGGTTTTTATTTGCTTGATTTTGACTGTAATCATGTCATTCAGAAACCTGAAGTGCAGATGTATCTTGCTGCTAGTGTGTGATGTTGAAACCTAACTGGATTTCCACTGCTTACCACTGTGACTGCTTTCAGAACTCTCTCTCTTTTTCTCTCTCTCTTCCCTGAGAAACTTAAAATTTAGTGCCTCCTAATAAGCAGTAGTTCCACTATGTCACTGTAAGATTGCAGTTTGGTATTTCAAATGAGTAAAGGAACCACTGGTGTAATACTGTGAGGATTTGCTGCTGTTCTTAAACCTCATTCTGCTTCCGGCTATGTGTTAACATCCAGTCCTTGCTACATGGCACAGTAGTAGCTTTCCAAACTGAAGCTTCATTACTAATTTCTTGGTATGGGTGATGCTGGAATCTTATCATTTGAAATCTTTGTTTTTCTGCTTTTACTGTAAAACCTCATTAATCCCTCCTGGAACTCAAGGTAACAAGTAAAACTGAAGGAAGGGTCTGCTGAAGCAAATTAATAGTATGTAAGGAAGCCTGTTGGGTCTGAACCACTTAAACAATTTTAAAGCTCTCTTCAGAAAGCACCCGTTTACCACCAGTTGATATGCCAATTACTAATCACTCTTTTTAATTATATTGAAAAACTTTCATGAGGATCTTTATAAAGCCACACCTTTTTTGTAGGTGCATTCGATATATTCTTTATCCATGAAATATATACATCTGTATTTCATGGAGAATTTAAATATTTTTTCATTTAAATCTATTAGCGTTTTCCTATTCAAATGTGCCGTGTCCCTAATGAATTTTAACTAATGAGGTTTTGTTAGAGCTTATTTTTCTCTCAGTACATCCTGGTATGTAGTTGGCTCATTTCCATTTCAGTTTTAGAATTGTTTCTTTCATTCACAACCTTTTAAACCCAGGGAGCCCTGTTCTGTTTTGTGAAGTCGCAAAGACACCTATAAAACTTTGTACATTAAACCATTATGTAAAGCCAAGTTTGAGCAAATTACTTTCAAGCTTGTCTTACCTTAGAAAAACAGAACATTTTAAATCAGAAATTACCTGCCTGATTTTAAAACTCAAATTGTAGTGAGTTCCTATTTTATTACTTTTTGGGCTAAGGATTACATATTTTCCTAAGCAAAAATCTTTTCTACATTCTCAAACTATTATGCTGTAAATGTTTTAATTTTAATTTCTTGGTTCTTTTTATTTTTTATTACCTGTAGGTTATGTTCCTCTTCATTGAATTACATATTTGAAAGACTATTGTCTTGATTCTTGAAACAAATTCGCACAACCGTTGCTTTACTCTTTGGTTGTAAATGCCCTTGGTTTTGGGATATGCCCTGGTGTGACACCCCCCCTCCCCCACCTGGAGCCCTGTGCATTGATTGACCTTCTACCCTAGGACTGTGGTAAAGGGGGAGCCCCTTGCCTTCTCAGGCCTGGGTCAAGGAGCTCAGTGGAGACCTGCCTTTTTAAGTGACTCCTTAGGGACTTCGTTGCTTCTTTCTGACTTAAACATTAGGGGATCCTTTTTGTTACTCTCAGAGGAGCTGTTTTTTGGCTCATAACTTGGTCATTTTCTCCACGGGTTAGTTTTCTTATCTTGATTTCACTAGAATGTAAGCTCCAGGAGCTCTGTAAGGGCAGGGATTTTTGTCTGTTTCGTCTTCTGCTGTATTGTCAGCAGATAGATCAGTGTCTGGCATATATAGTAGGTGCTCAATAAAAATGTGTTCAATGAATTTCTAAACTCTCGTCTTCTGATATGTTGCGTTCATGGAACAGGTCATCAAAGGTACCAGACTACGTCACATTCTCCCACCAACACAATGAAAGGATTTTACTGCTTTTAAGAAATAAGGTTTATATGACCCTTTTCTAGCCTCCCATCTTAGACAACAGTTCCGTTTGGATTTGTACAATTGCTTCAAATATAGGTTGCTATAATTTTTTCATCCTAGGCAGTTTGTATCGGTTGTTTAGTTGATTAGGACAGTGAAGCAGAGACAAACACAAACCTATGTCAGTAAAAATGTCTCATCAACCATGGAATTCACCCCCGTGTTTCTTTCTACAATTGGTGTGGGGTTTACCCCTCACAGGTTTAAGAGACTGGATCTTATTTCTCTGTGCTGCCAAGTAATGGACATGAAGATGCATCCTGTTTCATAAGAATAAACAGCTAATATGTGGTTTCTAACGAGGCCTTGTTTAAATAATAGCCCTTAGCTGAGATGCGTGGCCCTGGGGGGTCTTTGCTGGACAACTTGTTCTGACTCAAAAGAGAGCAGCCTAACCTTTGAGCTTTCTCATCCAAACATGCAAGATAATTGCATAGACCTCCAGGAGGAAGAAGTATGTCGTTCCTGACCCAGTGGTTAAGCTATGGCAATGCTTTCTTGGTGCAGTTTTGTTTAAATTGCTATATTGTCATTGAGTTGACAGTCGTGCTTCCCTAAAGAAATCACATTGGTTCCATCCCCGTAGGGATGGCAGGGAAGGGTGGCCAAAACAAGTTGGGTGCTTGTTCTGCCCTTTTGCCTTTTACTTAAATTCCTCTGATACTTTTTTTTTTTTTTTCCTTTTGGCACTCTTACCTTAAAGCCTCCTATTTCTCCTCTGTCTGGATGTAACACTCTGGAGGGAGGAGGAGCTGTCACTTTGTTTCCCTTGGTTTAAAGGATGAAACGATCGTGATCTGATGTTATGTAACTGTTTCCCTCTGATTCTCCTGTTCCCGTTGTCATCTAGTTCCTTGCTTCTCTCTTTCCTGTTCACTCACATGTCTCCAATTCTTTTTTATACCTAGAATAGTCTCTGTAATCCCTGTTTGCCTCCACGAGCCTGCTGTTTCCAGGAAATTACATAATGTTCAGTTGAGATGGAAATCTTGTGGAGGACGAAGAGAGTTTAATTACTCATTGGGTAGAAAAGCCAAGTCATTTCTTTGGTCTCCAGAGTTGTTCTTTTAAACTGGTATTGTCAGTTCTGAATGGAGCCAAGTCGTTTTTATCTGGGTCTCTGTAGGCTATGAGTGACCAAGATGGGGAGCTGGTACTGGAAAGCTAGATGCGGTGGCACTTTGCAGTAAGGTCCTGGGGTGAACCAGCTTCCTCTGCGCAGGGGCCCACATGCTTGTAGGTTCTTGCGCTTCCCCATTGCAGTGCTGGAACAACTGAGGGTATACTGGCCAGGAAGCACAGGTGAGCTTACGAGGGACATGCCCTGGTCAGGGACAGTTACAGAGCTGCTGTCTGTATCCCTAGTGGTGGCCCAAAGGCTGAGGAAGCTAGATTTTCCTGTGAAGGACAGTGAAGAGCCCAGTGCCCCTGGGGCTGACAAGAACCATTTCCTGAGACCCAGAGGGCCTGGAGAGGACACCAGGAAGGTAAGTGCCACAGATACTCTGGGCCTGAGTTCTCCTTCCTCATGGACTGAGGTTTGGGTAGAGGGCAGCCAGCATGGCCTGGTGCTAAAGCACGCTAGGCAGAGAAGCAGTACCTTTAACTGTCCCTGAGATAGTCAGATAGTCGAGATAGTCAGGTGTTCAGGGCCAAAGAGTATATTTTTAAAGCCTGTTGCCCCTTCCTTTTCTTTTGTTCGGGGAATGCTTTCTGAGGGGTGGAGTGGATTTTCCAGAGCTCTGTCACTCCTGTGGCTTGAGGCCTCTCCCTTTTGCCCCGGTCAGAGACAGCAAGTCCCATGCAGAAGACAGAAGGGTAGCTTGGAAGGGTCGCTTACAGGTGGATTGTTCCCACTTCACAGAATAGAGACATTTATTTACTACAATTCCTCTAAGTCATTTCTGTTCAAGGAAAAAACCATTTTTGTCAGTTTTACTGTGTAACAGTTGAATGTTTTACAAGTCCCATTGGACGCTACTCTGGAGGAGGTGTGCAAAAGTGTAAATTCAGCAATAAAAGTTGGTGCTGGTCACTGCCCTGGGACTGTTTGTTAGGAGGGCCACTTATGTTTTACAAATACATTCAGAAAAAGCTCAGAGGAGCTCAGCTGCCCTATTCTGAAGTCAGGCTACATTTACTTTATTTGGAAGGTAATTGGCATTCTCACAGTCCAGTGGGTTTGCTTGGTGAAGATTGAAGATTTTAACATCAAAGAGTTTGCCTTCTAAATCTCCATGGCTTTTCTTCATTTTATGTGAACGGAGGCCATGAGAACTTTCTCCTGTTGTCCAGGCCCTGAACTGCAGTCTTTCATCTTAGAATGTTCGCCCCATTCCTGTGGCGCCACGCACCGTAGTCCCAGGACCTGAGCCACCAGGCGTGTCTGGTTCGGCAGCTCTGAGCTGTTCCTGCAGTGGCCCTGCCACAAGAGGAAGTGCTATGGTGACAGTGCCAGTCACAGCCTCAGCCAGCCCCTGGGCCCTGGTGCTTGACGGGGTCAGCCCTTTGCATCCTTATATCTATTTCACAGAACTGGGACTTAGGGAAGACACCTTGGCTGAAGGAGCAGGAATAAGTTACATGTTTTTAGGTCTAAACCACAGACTTACTTGGGAAGAAAGGAGTCATGTTTTCCTGCAAATTCAGAGTCAACTGGCCATGTCATTAAATGAATGGTATACCCCTGCCCTGAGCGTGGAATAGTTGCGGCGACCCCTCGGAGGAGATGCGCTCGCGTCTATGTGACCCTGCAGTGGCCGCAAGCTGTGGGAACGGTATTAGCTGCCATTCCTTGATCCTCAAGCCTCAGTAACTGTGTGCTAATACCTTGGCAAGCACTTGGCAAAATCTCACTTAATCCTCACAACCACCGCACCTGGTAGATGGTGTCAATTCCATTTTTCGGGTGGTCGTAAAACTCCCCGCAATCCTGTCATGTCTACTTGGGGGTCTTTTCTAGCAGTGGAGGCCTGGCAGTGCTAGGCCTCTGAGGCTGCAATTCATTTAACCCAGAAAAATCCCCTGCTGATGACTCAGGGAGCCTTCCCTGCATTCGTTTCACTTAAGGAAAATGACCTGAGGGTAAGATGGAAAGGGAATTGGCTGTTGCCAGGCAGAGCCCTGCGTGTCAGGGGCCAGCAGCCAAGTGAGTGATCCAGGAAGTCATCCAATTGCAAACCAGAAATTGTTCTTAACCCCTCACTCACTGTCTATGGTTCATAGCAAACTCGCCCATCCGCCCAAATGGGGTCAGAGTAAACCCTGGCTACTCGGAGCCCTGGGAACTGTCTCGGTTCTTGGCTGGCTCCAGGACCCCTTGGGGCCATTCTCTCTCAGACCAAGTGGCAGAACTGAGGTGGCAACCATTCGGCATCCCAGGGCTCAGTTCTGCCACTTGGTCTGAGAGAGAATGGCCCAAGGGGTGGGAGCCAGTTCCTTTTGGTGAAGGGGTGCCTCTTCGGTCCCTTGGAGACTAGCCTTTGGTGTCTGCAGAGCCATCTGTGCTCTGGATAAATGGTTGCCACGGGGTCCTTTTGGTGAAGGGGTTCCTTTTTGTGAAGGGGTGCCTCTTCGGTCCCTTGGAGACTGGCCTTTGGTGTCTGCAGAGCCATCTGTGCTCTGGATGCTGCGTGTGTCCCCCATGCAGGACCTGCCAGGGAGCAGCGTAGCCACCGGGCACACCCTTGTCGACCCTTGGTCAACTCAGCTTCTCCTTCCTGGTGGTGGACAGGTGATCTCTCTTCCTAGCCAGGTACGACTGCTCTGCTGGACAGTCCGCAGATTGCTCTCTGATGATAGAGCTGCTGGTGGGCCTGTCAGGCGAGAGTTAACAGAGGATTTGTTTATTGAATCACAAAGTAGCTGTCACATGATTTTAATGAAAACACCATTTCCCTGACAACAGTGATGTCAGTCTTGTTATTGCAGGAAGGAGCAGCTGTGAGGGACATTCAGTCTCCATGCTGAGCCCAGCTTTGGAGACAGACATCAAGTGAAGCATCCACAAATAATGGTTGCAGGCTCCAAAGCACCGAATCCACCCTCCTCTTCCTCTTCTCTGTTCGAACTGCACAGACATTGGCCAGAGCCCAGCCCTGTACCCAGAGTCTCCACTGAGATCTCACCTTCTGCACCCCTTGCTCTTTCTACCCTTGTTTCTACTTCTGATTTTCCCAGTTTTCCTTATTTTCCTCAAACTCAGAGAATCTTTAGGGGCCCTAGGATCTCTGGCCCCTGCCTTTTGGCATCTCTCTCTCCTACACGCTCTAAGTCAGCACTTGCTGGTGAACCAAGCAGTTCCAGCTGTCCTGAGGTGGGGGCCATTCTACAGCTCAGGAATCTCGGCTTTTTCTGGAATCAGCTTTCTGGGGGAGGAGCGCCCGCTTGTTCTGTCTTCGTCTCTCCTGAGAGAGCAGGTTGGGGGGCCTGGGTGCTGCCCGATGGTCTCCAGGGCAATTCTAAGGACTAGTTCTCTTGAACCCAGAAAGTCTTCAGGAGGCCTGAGTCCAATCCATACGAGGACTGACAACAGATCAAAGCCCAGGGAGGTCAGCAGTGGGCTGGTCATAGCCAGCTAGAGCACTGTCCTCAGGCTCCAGCCTCTTCTTGGCACCTTTTCCAAGGGGCCTTGGGGATGGAGCAGCTGTATCTGCAGAGAAAGACCTCCACTCCCTCTAATCCTGCACCCAAGAGCTTGGCCTAACAGTTTGAGGCTGACGAAAAGAGTCTCCTTTTAAGTGGGACTTGGATTCTCATGGATGCTCCTATGTCTGTGGTACCCATGGCTGGTGCTGCCCAGAACTCATCTCCAAAAATGAAGAAATCTTGGGCAAAGTTTGTGGTTCTT